AAAAAAAAAAAAAAAAAAAAAAAAAAATACTTCAAATCGTCGGAGTGTGAATTCAACCAAAGCTTTAGGTTTGCCCGTTTTACCTGAAATATTTTTGCTTTTGCGCTTTACAAAGATTGATGAGCGAATTTCTAGGGGTTACTTTCAAGATCATGCATCTTAATCTTCATTCGTAAAAGTCACGCGTTTCTTCCACGCGTGCGTACGTCTCCATTTTAATCAATCACTTTTGTAAATTCAAACACTAAAACTCAACTTAAATTCTTTTCTAAACTTTCTTCAATATTATTAATATTAATACAAGTGCGTGCACGAGACAATAATTATAAATTGCATATAATTGAAGCAATGAATAAATATTAAGGAAATATTACTATCTCCTTACGATATCATCTCGTCGGATATTTTAACCGTTGAATCCACATGTAGTGAGATAAGGTAGATAATCCAAAAGTTAAAACACTCGACGGAATGGTACCATAACGGGACCGTAGCATTTTCCTAAATATTAATTGTTATAAATATAGTTTTGAATATCAATATTAATTATTTGATTTTATTTTAAGAAATATAAAAATATATAATATATGATTTATATGTTTATTTCACTCTTTATAATATAGTTTTCATTTTGGAGTTGTTTATAATTAAAGATAATGGGAATTTAACATATTAAAATGTTATCAATAAATAATACTCACACAATATTTATATCTATATATCTTCCATCATACATACCTTGCAATATATTATTTTACATTTTAAATAAGTTATGCTAAAGTTGAAAAATTGTGGCAAATATTATAAGCAGCACTTAATTGAAAATATTGTAATATATATTTTTTTGAATTTAAAAATTTATTGATTTTTATTTAAGTCAATATTATTTTATATTTTCTTATAATTATAATAATGTACATTATAAATATTTTATATTTTTGTTTAATATTAATTTATATCAGTTTTGTTATGGTATTATAAACTACAGTATAAACTTTTAAAGAGTGCAATTGTTGATAAAATGAAATGGTATTTTTGAAATCTTTGAATAGATGATTATTTTGGTATACGGGTCGTTACCAAATGAATAGAAAATGAGAGGGAGTTGTTAATAATGTTGAGATATCAATTTTATTGTAGTATTGTGCTAGTCGTATCGATAATATTTTTATAATTGATTTTTAAATTTATTTTGGTACTTATAATCTGTAATATTCTTATGCACATTTTGGTCTACATGGATGCCCAACAAAACAAGAGAACACGTGGTTTGCTATATAGAATACATATTGATTTATTACTAATGATAGATAGTTAAATTTCTTTAGATAGTGCAAAATTGCGTTTACAATTTTTGAAAAGACGAACTAATTGAGTTATTCATAAATCAAAGAATTTTAAACTAATACTCTTGATTAAATGATTTATTGAATATACGATAAAAAATATATTTGTAATGGGTGGTTACCATAACAATAAGAAATCAATGTAATTTGTTATTAATGTTGATAAATAATTTCTATTGTAAACAATGTGATAAATATAATGACAAAATTTTTATAACTGATTTTTAATTTTTATTGTGTAATTATATTTGCAATTTCATTGTGATACCGAAAGGGCGGAAATTTCCCCCCCTTGATCGTCCTCTTCGTTCGATTCAAATATTATTTTCTAAAAACAAAAACTATTTAATAGAAACAATTTTGAAGACATGTTGTTTGATTGTTTACCAAAATAAGAAATTGCATTAATTTATGAAGAATTGAATTTTTATTGCGATAATTATCACATAATAATTTTAAAAATCTATACCACTTTGTCTATATAGAAAGTCGTGCTATTAACCGAATCGCACGATATATCACATAATAATTTGCTTTAATAGTAAGTCAACCTATTTAATTACAAAGTCAAAACTATTATTTCATATAGATATAAATAAGGGAGATGCTACGGTCCTGTTACGGGACCATTCCGTCGGGGTTTGTAACTGTTAGATCAACTATCCCAACGGTTACATGATAATCTAACGGTTACAAACTCTGACAGAATGGTTCCGTAACGGGACCGTAGCATTTCCCTATAAATATATATAGATATAGATTTCTAAATAGTCAACACTTTTTTTTGACTGGAATAGTCAACACTTATTTATTTTTGCAATTAGGCCTTGTGCATGCGTTAGACCTATGGGAGAGAGAGAGAGAGAGAGAGAGAGA